GCCAGCCGCAGTCCGCAGCCGCCTTGTGCGAGGGGAAGGCCCGAGCCCAGAGGTGACGGGGCGGAACGGAGGGGAAGGGGACTCCGGAGGGACGGGGCTGTGGAGAGGGGAAGTGGGGGCGGCCGCTGAGGGAGCGGGCCCGGCGGGGGAGAGGGCTGCGGAGGGAGCGGGCTGTGGGAGCGCGGGAGCTGACTGGAGCATACCCACCGCGGGGTTTGGGTGTTGACTTGGAAGTGCCTTGGACTGCGTGTCCTGGTCGGGGATCCTTGTTACTTAGTGATGGGAGGAGGGGGGAGAATTGACGTGCACACGGTGTCCGGCATTGTAAATGTAACCCAGCGTTGGTGTGCGGAACATGCAGACACCGTGGCGTTAGGGGAGGCGAAATTTGTTCTGGGTGGATTTGGAATTGGATTTCTTATACTACCAGCTCATCAAAATGTTAACACTTGGTATGTCTGTCCTGCAGCAGCTGCTGCATGGAGTTTCAGTGAAACAAAAAAAACTCTTTTAAGCACCTACACACTGCGTCACAATATTTGGTATTGTGGGTAGGAAGTTTCAGAAATCCAAGAGCGTGCAAAATCCCCAAAACATGATTGGTGCACAGTTTACACTGTGTTGGAGACCTACCCATTTGATTATTTCTCACGCTCTCCCCAGAACCTTATAGATGTTACTGTAACTGAATGACTCTTCTTTGTGTGGTCTTTTTCAGTAGAACGTGTGCTACCATCACGATGCCTGAAGTAAGCACCGATCACCTGGATGAGCAGCAGGTGCAGCTCTTAGCAGAGATGTGCATCCTTATCGATGAAAACGATAATAAGATTGGAGCAGATACCAAGAAAAACTGTCACTTGAATGAAAACATTGATAAAGGTACAGCTTGCTTACCTTCTAATTGAACCATTAAGTTGATTAAATATTTTCAGAAATCTAGTCATGATTAAATTACAGCCTTAAGCTCAGGTGGGTGTTGGTCAAACCAGAGCAAGTACTTCCCCACACCCCCCTCCTCCCCCAGCATACAACAGCTAATTTTAAAAATACTGCAGTATGGAGGAACACACAATTGGAGGCAGAAGTGAAGGAGAGAAATGTGTGATTGTGGATATAAGCTGTATGTATTGATAAATAATTTTGAATCACATTTTGATGATAAAATAGTATTATTTTTCTATTACAGATACCTGAGTCTATGTAGCTTTTTCTAAAGAATGCCACCTGCTTCTTTGCTGAGTTTGTGTCAAGTAGAAGAGACCTTGATTTTTAAGTAGTTCACACAGAGTTCTACTTCAAATACTGCTAATAGCAAAGTGGTTTTTTAATTGTTGTCATTCTAATTGATTGTGGATTTTATTTGAGGTTGATCAGATTCATGAATCTCTCACAGTAGTTTGTGTCCTCCTTTTCCATACTCAAGGGAAGCATGCTCCTGAAGAGTGAGGAGTAACAAACTCAACAGTTGCAGAAGGTAGCAATTGTACTGTTTTTGAGGAAGTTTGTACTTTTACAATTCCTGAAGCTTCTTGAAATTTCATCCAGTTTTTTAGGGGCTTTCGAGTTCTCTCTTTTTGATAGTAAATTTATGGATGCTGAGCCCTCCTTAGAAGCTTGCTGCAATGTGCATCTGCAGAATGGTGAACTGGCCGAGTGTAGGAGAACTCTTCTGTTACGTGGTTCTTCTTAGCACTTTCCTAATTCCATAATGTTTTGTATAAGCTGGCAGAGAAACCTAAATAGTATCTGTGAGGTTTTCATCAAATCCTTGCTTTTTCATGTGTAGGAATTTTAAATTCAGGTTACCCAAAAATGAGGGCGTTCTAAGCCCTTAAACTCTTTCTTCATGTGTTGGGGTTTTTTTTCCTCTTAAAGACCTCTGTGTGGTTTTTTGTTCTGCTTTGTTTTTAGGTTTACTGCACCGAGCTTTCAGTGTTTTCTTATTTAATACAGAAAATAAACTGTTGCTGCAGCAGAGGTCAAATGCAAAAATTACATTTCCAGGTTAGTACTGAAATACATTGTATTTATAAAAATGCTTTATTTAAACAAATATTTTTAAAATGTGCCAGTCTCATTTTGCAGTGTAACTCATTCTGAGGTTTTCGAATTTACTTCTTCAGAGAGGAGACACTGTTAAGAGTTTGAGATGTAGTTATTTGTGGATGAAGTAAGATGATGGGAACACTGGCTAATTGTTATGCTTTCTCTTGGGAAATGATTGTTCCCTGACTTGTTTGATCCTGTTTGTACAAGTGCAGAGTGTGCATTGTTTACTTTCTCTGTTGCAAGACCTACATAGTGGGGTCGAAATGATTGCTCTGGCAGGTGTGGAGAGTGTTCTCATTCCCTTGGCAAAGACACGTAGTTGATGTATTGTGGAGCCCTATTGCCTGGAAGTAGTTGCATGGTGTTCCAGTGAGATCTGTGGACCTTTTTCTGTGTATAGAATCACAGAATGGTTAGGGTTGGAAGGGACCTCAAAGATCATCTAGTTCCAACCCCCCTGCCATGGGCAGGGAAATCCTCCACTACACCAGGTTGCCCAAAGCCCCATCCAGCCTGGCCTTGAACACTTCCAGGGATGGGGCATCCACAACTTCTCTGGGCAACCTGTTCCAGTACCTCACCACCCTCATTGTAAAGAATTTCTTTCTTATATCTATCCTAAATCTGCCCTCTTTCAGTTTAAATCCATTGTCCCTTGTCCTATCACTCCATGGCCTTGTAAAAAGTCCCCCTCCAGCTTTCCTGTAGGCCCCCTTTAGGTACTGGAAAGCTGCTATAAGATCACCCCGGAGCCTTCTCTTCTCCAGGCTGAACTGCCCCAACTCTCTCAGCCTATCTTCATAGCAGAGGTGCTCCAGCCCTCAGATCATCTTCGTGGCTCTCCTCTGGACTCGTTCCAGTAGCTCCATGTCCTTCTTGTGTTGGGGACTCCAGAGCTGAACACAGTATTCCAGGTGGGGTCTCACGAGAGCTGAGTAGAGGGGCAGAATCACTTCCCTTGACCTGCTGGCCTCGCTTCTTTTGATACAGCCCAGGATGTCTTAACAAACTCTTTTTTAGCTATAGAGAAAGTGAGACACTGTGGCCAGAGTATCTAGTGCATGATTTTACTATTACTGTCAATTGCAAATGGGAGAGACATAAAAATAAGAAGTGAAATGAAAGAAAAACAGCTTACAGGAGACATGTTGGAGGAAGCATAAAGCTGTCTGTTTCAGAATTTCAGATGGAAAACAAATTCAAGTGTTTCTAAGCCTCTTCAACTCAGGGAATAAAGACCTTTTTTAACTTCCAAGGGAATCTTTAGGGATTTTTTTTTTCCTTGACCACTCAAACTCATCAAAATGCTCAAGTGTAGTTTGTAGGTAAGCTCATTCTATTTTAGATGCTTTTGAGCTAGACTCTTAGTGATAAAAGGCTGGCCAGAGTTATTCTACATGACTGATAAGTAATTTTAAACATGCTTGAAGTAGAAAGTATAGAGGGTCTGTTCTTTAAGCACAAGCATAAACTGCTTATTTACTTCTACTTACTGTTATGTGATCTTGAAGCTCTGGGTGTATTTCCAATATTCTGTTGGATATAAACTCCCAAAAGTAATTCTACTTAGTGTTTGTGGGATAAAAAAAGCTCTTTTTCAAGCTGGCTCCCTAAGTAGATGCTGTCTTGAATATGAGAATGCACGTGTTCATGTGCATCAAACACTAATGCGCAACAGAGTACTTAGTAAATCTTGGTGCAAAACATGGAAAGAAAATTAAGAGGTGGAAATATACTTCTTCCTTTTTGACCCTTTTTTCCCTCTAATAAGGGAAACAAAGCTGTGATATGTTGAATAACTGTCCTACCTCTCTGGGGTTTCTCAGTGGTGGGTTTTTTATGATTTTTTTTTGTTTTTTTTTTTACAATTCTTTATATGTGTCAAAAATGTATTGATACAAACTTCTTGCAGATTGTTTTACCAACACTTGTTGCAGTCATCCTCTAAGCCATCCACTGGAACTGGAAGAAAGTAATGCCATCGGTGTTCGGAGAGCAGCACAGAGACGACTGAAAGCAGAGTTAGGAATTCCCATGGAGCAGGTAAAGGAAGGAAGGAGAAACGGGAATTCTTGCCAGTGTTTGTCCATTTACAGGTTAACTGCATCTGGCAGACAGGGTCAGCCTGAAACCTAAAGATGAATTTAACTTAAGAGATGTAGAAAACTTAGTGAGTGTGAGACGTGTTCATCTGTGTTCCAGAGTCTCAAAAGCTGTTATCGCTAAATGGTGTTTCAGAGTATTCCACTGCTCAAACTAAATACGAGCCAAAGAGTAAATGTCACACTGGTGAAGTTGTCCCCAGAGCCAATTACCTGGTCTGCAACTTGCACAGATCCCTGGTAGTTCAGGGTTACTCGTGGTCTGTCAGAATGCGGTTCGGTGCTGAGCTCTAAGCAGCTGTCAGGTCTTTTGGGAGGTGAGGGGCAGGTGCAGGTAAGTGTGCATTAAGGGCTGGTAAACGTTCTTTAAAACTTATCTATACAAGAAATCCACTCAAAATATTACAGGGTGAGTCTGACTAGAGGAATGCTGTGCCATTCATGTCATCAAAGTGCAATAAAATTTTTATTTTATAGTAATTCTTTGTGAAGAAGTACATTGCAATTATACACTTGGGGGAAAAATAATTTTTAAGGAAGAGGGTAATAGCAGATAATTCCTCTGTAACACCTAGCAGTACAGTTACTCTGGTTTGGCATCGGTTCTGACCAGTGTTTTGGTTGTAGGTAACTCCAGAAGAAATCTCCTATCTGACACGAATTCACTACAAGGCCAAGTCTGATGGGATCTGGGGTGAACATGAGATAGACTATATCTTATTTGTACAGAAGGATGTAACGCTGAATCCGGACCCTAACGAGATCCAAAGCTACTGCTACGTGACACAGAAAGAACTGAAACAGCTCTTGGACAAAGCCTCCAAGAATGAAGTGAAGATTACTCCATGGTTTAAGCTAATCGCGGAGACCTTTCTTTTTAAGTGGTGGGATAACTTATCTAACTTGAAGAAATTTGTTGATCATGAAAAAATATACAGAATGTAAATAGCTGGGGTAAAGGGTGCTGAAGGCTAGCAGTGATGGGCTGTCTCATTAATGCTGTGGTAACTCGTGACTTGAGTGCAGAAAGGCGATCCACCTGAAGCGTAACAGTTAACTTCATACAGAGATGCTTATAGCCAATGTTTTTTCTTCTCTCTTCACCTCCTCTTCCCTCCAGCCCTGCTCTTCTTGGGCGCATTGAGCTTAATCTCATGTAAATTGGCTAATGGTGAGATCAGAACCTCCCTGGGTTCATCTTTCTCCATTACCTGCTGTGACGGGAAAGATCCTCAGCCTGTGTGTGCCCAGTTTACTGTTACTCCCTTGTGTAACTATGTCGGCTGCGTGGGAGTTCAGGCATCTCCTGTCCAGCTCGTTTGGTAGAACTGGTGCTTTCCCAATTTTATGTGACTATGCCTTCTAAGTGGTGATTACAAAACAATTTGAATTCTGCATTGATGTTGAGAAGACGAGTTGTCTGAAGAAAAGAACAAGTAATTCAAAGTAATCAGGATGACTTTAACTGCAGAAAGCAAATCTCTTCAGCTACTGTACTGTATAATTAACCAAACACATAAAAGCTTAAGTAATTGGATTGTCTATGTGGACTGAGTTTCACTTTTAAGTGCTGCAATATATGTCATAGCTTTAGATAAAAAGCATGGAGGACTTGGTTTGTTTTTTTTTTTCCTGTCACCCTTTTCTGGTTAGTTGATGGCTGAGTACTGGACATCTCTTAAAAATAAAAAAGGATTAATTACACCAAATGTAAATGGTACTTACCTGATACGGTAAGTAGACCATCTTTGGAGAAGGGATATGCATTCAGTTCAGTTCAGACTCTTCTCCATCTTCCAGAAAACAAAGGCATCTTGATACAAGCTTTTTCCTGCAACATCTCTGTAGTAGTCATTCTCAGAAAACTCAAACCCTTTCGACACCAAAATTCTAGACGATGTATTAGGCTTACACCAAGTCTTAATTTCAGTGAATCGAAATTGTACCAGGGTGCAAGAGCTGATCTTTTTGCAAGAGCTGATCAGCTAAATTGCTGAGCAATTAACAGTCAATTGCTAGTAACAAAGAGTAAAATGGAAAGCTTTTTTAATATGACAAATAATCAAGGGTATCTCAATTTGAATTAAAGATTTTGGGATTTGTGTTTTGTTTTTTTCACCAAAAAAGCTGAATTGTGATTTCTTCTGTTATCAGACTACTCAATCTAGATTTCTCAAATTAACTTCTCCTAGAGGTGTCTTGATGAAATAGGATGTTGTTCATGCCACTTCTCCTGGCATGTAAACCATGGTTGTAACTAGTCTGTGTCGGGTTTCAAGGCAGGACTACATTTTTCCAGTGGTTAACATGTTTCTCCTCACACCAGTTGCAATTGCAGTACTGAGGGCTTCTATGTGCCAGCGTCTCTGGTGGTTCAACACTTAAAAGGTTTTGAAGCCAAGTTTGTTGTACGTTGACCTGAACTGATGCATTGTCTTGAGGCAAATAATAGTGGGTGAGGGAACAGCGACGCAATGGAACAGCTCTCTTGAATTCAGCGCCATCAGCCACATTACCCAAGTAACACATTAGAGTACTCTGGCAATACTTAAAATACTTTTTAAATAAAAGATTATCTTAAGGAGAAGATTACGATTAAAAACCTAACCTAAAACCTTGGACTGTTGTTTTCTTTCCAGACTTGAAGACACATGGAGAATAATCTCTGTCATTACTACACTTAAACAACAACATGCCTATGAAACGCCACTGAAGCGGGGTGGGGGGGTGGGCAGGGCAGGGCAGGGCAGGGCATACTCTTTTTTAAACAAAGTTCTACTTTTCTAGCTCAAATGACCAGCTTGGAGAAAAAGCTGCCACAGCATATCCTGAGGTAGAAATAATGTGCATAAGGAAGCTGAGAGCAAAGTTTTGCTAAGCAGTTCTTCAAAATCCCTTAGAAGTTTTGACATTAAGGTTTTTCTTGACATTGACCTTCTTTGCAGCATTATGGTATGTTTTTAATACTGAATTTATTACACAAAATGGATGAAACAATATGGATTTACACAGTGCTTCAATATGCTAAAGTTGACATCTGAACACTCTTCTTATCCTGTTGTATTTAAAAGTAGTTTAAAAAAATAATTAGGGATTCTTCCCCCTTACCTTTTGGGGTTTTCATTTGGTTTTAACATGCATATTTCATTGGATTCCAGTTTAAAATTGTGCATTTTAAGTGTATTGTTCAGGCAACACATTTATAACGTGTAATTTTACTAACCTCCAGGTAATTCCTACCTTGTTCCTTGACCAACTAGGGACAAAAAGGGAGTATTTCACATCTGACAATATATTTTGCCTTGAACAGGTACAAAATTTTTGTCTATCAGCTTCTGAAGAGAAAATGGCTTCCTAAGCAAAGGATGACAGTAGCATAACTGACATGAACTCAGGACAAAATTTCAGTCTGATGCTCATTATTTTCTACATATCTGAAACATTAAAAGTTGTAAGAGGTAACCCTCCCTGCTGGTGCTGTTTTAGGTTATCACAGATAGCAGGTTAGAACTAGAACTGCAGTTACTCCTCCAGCTTCAGTCACCATTTGGCTTTCAGAGGTGGCAAACGCTCCTCCCGTTCACGCAAAACTGGTTCGGTGCAGGCACACCAGCTCTGCGTGGTGTTTGTCCCTCTCCCATAACCTCCCCACCTATCTCAGTCTTTACCTGCAACACAGACTCATCACTTACTGTACATGAAAGAATTAACTTGCACTCAGAAAACCCACCCTTACTGATGCAGTACCTTACAAAGCTGCGTGGTTTCAGTCCTGATGGTAGCTTCATGAAAAAATACTTCACAGTTCTAGATTTAACCTTGTTTTAAATCTAATTTTACATAGAACTTTAAACACTTTACTACAACATCAAAGTCAGTAATAAGAAAATGGAACAAAGTGATTTTTTTTATGCCTATTTAGAATGGTTTCTGCCACTGGTATCAACAAATTTCTCATGGTGTTACATAGAACTGCAAGATCAAGGTATCACTTTCCCTCTCTGAGCTTCAAGTATCTTAACCATTAACAGAAACCACATACTTTTTAAACACTCTGTATTACTAAAAAGGAAAACAGGACTAGAAATTAGTTTTAGAAAGCTTATTTTAATGAGTTTTAATTCAGAAGACTGCTTATCTTCTCTGTGTTTTACCGGATTTTCTCTTTCCAGCCAGCAGATGCTTTGGCTTCAAGTCAAAGATGTGTCTGTCCGCCTCTCCTTTCCTGCCCAAGCGATTCATTTTCTTTTGAGCCTTCTTTGCCATAGTCTTGACCTTCTTCACCATCTAATTAAACAAACATGCAGAGTAAATTCCTCAATAGCTTAGGTAACTGGCTTTACCTTTTAAAAAACCACTAAGCTAGATGCTTTTAACGAGGACGTTAACTAACACCCAACGCCACGCTCCGCAACTCTAGAACAGTATCACTGCAAGTGACGCTAGTCTTCCTTAGCAACCTCTTCTTTTCCAGTACACTAACAATATGATCACACTATTCCTGCAATTCCCAACTTACTAGAAGTGGAATTCCACAGTTTTAGAACTCTTCCTTCATACTTGCATTTAGAAACAAAAATTTAAGATGTTATTTCTTAGTCTGTGTTATTACAACTTATTTTTAAGAATGAACTGGGCATTTTTGAAATGGAGTTTCAAAGCACTGGAAGATGAAGCTGCAAACAGAAGAGAGATGAACTCTAATAACCAGCCTGGCATGAAGTTTCCCAGAAGCTGGTTTAAGTACAGTCACGCTGTTTTAACTGCCATAAAGGTCAGTAACTTCAACAAACCTTTTCGTCGCGAAGACCAGAAACATCCCGTGGTGTGCGAGAGCAGCTGCGACTGCGTGCTGCAGATTTAGGGGTTTCAGACTCATCACGTTTACGTTTCCTTGTAACGCTACGGGACCTTCTCACATAATGTGCCTGAAATTCAAAACATCACTTTAATTATTGAAAACGGAAACGACCAGCTCAGACATGCTCCATTTCTGATGAGACTAGTATGACAAAACAGGAAGTGGACTGCTGTGATACATTGTTTTGGTTATTCCAGAGTAACATAAAGATTTTGTCAACTGTAGGTCACTGCCTTTCTGTCCTACAGTAATATTCAAATTCCGGTGAATACTAGCATATTCTTTTCACAATTATTAACTCTAGTTTTCTGATTTTTTTCTGAAGAGATTCATAAGCAATGAATAAAAAGACATAGAGCAACTAACAGACAGCAATACTGAAGCAATTTTGCAACAGCAAAAATTAATGAAGCAACCTGCCCCGATTACTGTCCCCTTTACAGGACAAAGCCCTGAAGAGTTTCAGACATGAAGACTCACCATCCTACAGTGTAAGCATTAAACTCCTCCTCACTGAGATCACTCCCAAATCAGCACGGCATGTCAGCTCCGAGAAGCATAAATGTTTGCTTCAGATGTGTAGTGCTGACATTTCTTGTTTCCTAACTCCTTGTTTAGTTAAGGAATTTAAGGTCTCAAGATCTAGACAGCCATAATACTGCTGGACTTGCTGTACAAAATGGCTTTTTTTTTTTTTCATTTCTGATAAGATGAAATGCCTCCCCAAGGCAAATCTACGTTTCAAGTACCTCAGCTGCCTTACATCTGAAGATGCCAAGCGCCCTCAAAAACTTCAATTACAACTCACAGAATTAATGAACTGTAAAAAGCCTGATCTGTCACTATTTCTGACATAATAGCATCTGATCCAACACAGCAGACTTGAAAATTATGTTTAGCCAAACCCCATTCTTGAATCCTATACAAATTCCAAGAGTTCTAATAGAAAGCAGTGCATATATATATATATGTCTTGATAAACATTATTTTTTCAGCCTACCCAACACGTTCTGATCACGTCATTCAAAAATTCCAGCACTGACTGCCTCATCTGGGTTTCCTATTTTCTCCTTAATAGATCCTACCTCTCTCTTGTGCCAACTGTAAAATGCATTTCAAATGTGCTCAAAGAAATTTAGCAGGTAATGAAATTGATCATTTTTAGATAAACATTGCATTTAATCAGAAAAACTTACATCATCTTTATTAGTCATGTCAAGTCCAAGATCAGTCATCTCTTTCTCTAGCACCTTCCGCTGGACCTGGAAAAAGACAGTTAAGAAAACATGTTTCTTTCAAAAAGTAAGGCTCTATCTTATTTTTTGTCTTAATACACCACCATAAACCGGTTATATTCACTACATATTTATTCCTTTGGCACACCCCAC